CCCCCACACCCACACTCGCATCTCTCGCGCGAGATGCGGCATCTCCCGCAGGAGATGTGGTGGCATCTCCAAAATCTTGGATATGTGACACTGCTGAAATTATTTATTTTTCGTACCTGATGTATACTTTTTAATAAAATCAATATGTTGTTGTTGAATTGCTTCAGGATCTAATGGTGTTTGGTTTGGCTATATATTCAAAAAAACAATAACAACTAATTAAAAGAATAATCTCAATTCTATTGAATAACCTTTGATGAATTTATTTGAGATGGTTGTTGAGATGTCGGTATTTTTGTACTATTATTTTGTACAGTATTACCATTTAACATTCGAACTAATGTTGATGATGAATCAACTGATAATAGAAGAAAACAAAATAAATAATAAAAACTTATGTTTTTTTTTTTAATTTAAAAAATAAATTCAAACCGGATTGTTTGTCATGATTATATTTCATTGAATTATTAAGTATGCCACGTACAATTGAATCGGAATTATCTTTTTTACCTAAAGATGAATTATTTAATGATGATGATGATGATGATGATGATGACGATGATGAAAATTCCGATGGTAATTTTTCATCCATTGTTATATCTATAAATTAAAATGAAAAAATTGAAAGAAAAAAAAGAACAAAATTTCAATATTTATTTAACCTGAAATATCTGTATCATTCATTGTTTGATTATCATTATTATTATTATTATTATTATTCAAACGTTTATAACGTAATACTAATGATGGTAAATTATTAATTATATTTGCTAATTCACTATCAAGATATTTATCATTATCAATTAATATTGATATATAATCTTGAATACTTAATGGACGTGCTAATTTTGATACATCAAATATATTTCCTATAACTTTTAATGATTGTAATTTATTCGTTGAAAAACACATATTTAACGATGGAACACATATACGACAATCACCAGTTGAAATTGAAGAAGATGAATCTATATCCGATGATGAAACTAAAATAAAAACAAATATCTGTTAGTTCAATTCGTGTAGTATTAAAACATGAAACATGATATTGTTAATCTTGATAAACACAGGATGATTAATTTTTTTCTATCTATTTTGAGACATATTTTTTCATCATCATTTTACTTAATGCACCATAGAGTGAGCAATAACCCGTGAGCATTAGTTGAAAAAATGAGCTTGTTCAAGATTTAAATAGTAACTTATATATTTTTAAAAAAATATAAAACAAACAACATACTTAATTTAAATGATGAACTATTTCCTTTAATATCTGCTGCACATTGATGTCTCCAAGCTGCTTGTAATTCATCGAATTGTGATCGTTGTATTGAACTATTTGTACAAAGACAAAGAAAGAAATAATTTGAGAAAAAAAAAAAAAAAAAAAAAAAAATTCTTTCTTTTGTTTTTTTAATGATTCTACTACTAACTCAAGAACTTCATTACGAGCAACAATAGTATCTTGATTTTGATGATTGGCTATTAATTTATATTCGGTATTAAGAAAAACTAATGAACCATCACGTGCATTTAAACGCCATTGTAATTTACTGGCACCGGTTGTTACACCTAAATATGAACAAGAAAACAAAGTTTTTTTTTTTTTTTTTTATTAAATTTTAAAATAAAAATAGTTCAATTACATTTCCATAGGGCATGTAATTTAACTAGACGATCTTCATGATAAACAAAATTGAATATTGATTGAGACACTATTTCATGTGGTAAATAACCAGTTATCACAGCACCTCTATAATATAAATATATATGTTGAATAAAATGAAAACAAAAAAAACAAATTCATTGTATTTTCCTTTGATTTTTAAATAAATGTTTGAGTATCTTTTTTTCAATTTACTCAAAATATTGATTTTATCTATGAATAACAAGATAACATTTTTAACAGTAATCAGATATATATTTTCATTCTAATTTCTTTAATTTTATCATTGAATAAATATTGAGATTAGTAGAAAAAATTCTCAAAAGAAAAAAAAACAAAGTTTTAGACATGTTGAAAGTCTAAACCAAGGTTGAACTAAAACGTAATAACATGTTTTAATTATATTAATGAGTTGTAAAAAAACTACGGAGTATATAGAATTGTAAGCCGATTGATCGAGTCACTGTCTCCGCCAACACTCAAGCCATACTGTCTTCATTAGTGTATATAATTCTTGAAGACTTAAACCGTTTGTGCCGAGACATACACATAAATACTTAAGTTTTTTTTTTGAAATTTTTGATAATCAAGATTAATTTTCGAGAATATTCTTGTCTGTTTTTCTTATCAATATGTTCTCTACCACTATTTACTGTATTTTTCATTTGAAAATTATAACTGTCGATCAATATATCGACTTAAACGTCAAAAGTTCAAGTTTTTCTATTCACTTTTTTGAAACATGAAATATCAAGGAAAAGATTTCAAGCATGTTTTTTAATGACAGACACTACCGTACTCATCTTATCGATAGCTTTTCTAATCTTCTGTCTTCTACTAGTAAACAAAATAAATCCTAATCTGGATAAATTGTTCATCACAAGAAACATTATTAAAGCCTTTCATTTTTTAAGATTAAAAGTAGATTTACTCGGTTTCATATTATCAGCAACAAATACAAGAACAACATCAGTCTGTACATGGAGTTACTTGGTTATTAAACATTATTCTTCTGGAAATCATAGAAACATCTTTTTTCTTTGCGTGGCCTCTTTTTTTTGTTGTTAAACTATTGGAACAAACAATTTGATATTAGGATTATCTATAGCACTCTGCAAATAATCAAAATTTCTTTTCATTTTTAGCATCAACGGTCATGTAGTCTATTTGAAAAAAAAATGCTTCGTGTAAATAACTTAGGATTTATATAAAAAGCTCAATTAATCATTATTATCAACGTCTTAATCAAAAGATATTCAACACAGTAGGAGAATTTTTCTTCTAGGCTATTTTTAATGAGAAACATTTATATAAAAATATGTTTCATTAATAAACAATAGAATTACATGCGAAACTCCTCGAGTAATTTTATTATTAAAGAAAAAAGAAACATTATCTTATTGAAAAGATTTGTTTTTTTTTTTTAATTTCATACCTATGATCTTCGAATGTAATTTCACCTATTAAATTCATTTTTGTATAAAATTCTTCTTTTTGTACATCAAAAAGTGTGATATCAATATAAGATGAATTATCTAATGTTAGAACAAGTATTGTTCCTATTAAACCACTATACCGAGGTGTAGTTGAATGAACATCTAATAAATAAAAGAAAAAAGAAAAATAAAATAAAAATGAAATAAAAATAAATTATATATTTTTTCTTACCAACATTGTCATGATTAAATTTTTTCTTTCGATGTACTTTTACTTGTCGATATTCATTTGTAACAGCCATTATCATTCGAACACAACAAATATCATACGCTAAATTTATAATCAATTAATATTTTCAAATCAAAAAAACAATAAAACTAACAAAACGATTGTTTTTTTTTTCAAAAGTTCTTTAAGTACGAATTGATTTTCAGTATTATTTATAGAATAAACTACGTATTGAATTAACATTAGATATATATACCAAGACTTAGCACGAGATATCAACTTTCATACAGAATATTTTTAAAGTTCAACATTTCATTGTCATGTTTTCTGAGTTCTACATTAATTTAATCTACTTTCGAATAAACTTTTACAATAACCTAAATTAATAATTCTGATACATTTTTATATATAAAATCAATTTAATTAGTTTTTCTCATCGATGATTAGAGTTTTCATACGTGATCAACCGTTTGTGATATTGTTCTCACAAAAGTGCATTGGGATTAATTTAAAAGCTATCCTCATGTTATTAGTTTTTGCAAGTTTCGGTTAACAATTTTTTTTCTTTTTTTTTCTACAATCGTAGGAAAGTCAAAACTGATCATTTTTAATTACTAAGCATAGATATTTAATATGAAATATACTGAATAACACTTTGAGACAAAAACTCCAAATCAAATGATTACAAAATCATGTCAAACTTTTTATTTATTCAAGAAATTTTTATACTTTTATTCGATTGAAACTTCTGAAATATTCTATAGCATCTCATCGATAAATATGTTGTAAAAAGTAAATTATATTTTTATCATTGTTCGAAATATAAAATAATTTATTTTTGTTTTGACTATAGATTTATAAACATATAATAACATGACAAATAAGTACACAATAAAATTGTGACTATTATATGAACTCATGTAGAAATTCTTCTAAGAAAGTATTTAACTATAATTAACTGTCATCTTAGAAAAATCTTCTTGACGAATCCATATGAAAATCTCAACATTATTATGCAAATGTTTTGTTTTTTTTTTGTTTTTCTTTCTTTCTCGGATTATTTTATTTATGCATGTATGTGTCAAGCAAAAAGGAAAAAGAAGTTATATACAATTTGAACGAGCGAAAAGTTTTTATCAACTGATAAAGAAACAAAGCACATTTATTATTATTATTTCAAGACATGTTTATTCGAAAGACACGACAAAAAAGTTAACAGTGTTTTTTTGTTGTGGTCTTTTTTTTTTTCTTTCTCGAATAATTTTATTCATAAATGAAACACAAAAGAATTAGTTATACACGGGTCGAATGAAAAGAACATTGTCTGTAACCTGATAAAAAACAATTTCCTTTCAGACCACTTCTATTTAAAATGATAAAGGGATCAACATTTGTGTCATTAATATTATATAGGTCTCGATATATTCAATATTTTAATGGTATCTATACTTAAATTGTTTTTACTTACATTGTGATGTATTAGAAAGAAATTTTGAAAATAATTCTCGTTCACTATCTTCAATTAATAATAATATTGAAAGACCAATAATTTCAGACTTAATAAAAAAAAAAAAAATGAAAATAGATGTTAAAATTTAAATTCATAACGAACTTGTTCAAAACCAAAATAATTTTTTATTGTTTTTGATACATCAATAATAATATTATGATTATCAAGACAAATAAGAGTACCTTGCATCGCGTCAAGCAATACATTGCCCATTTCTTCTAATGGTAATCGATTTTGCTGACGTTGCTGTGCGTATGCAGTTACGTCAACTAAATACAAATCGAAAATGAAAGAAGAGAAAAAGAGAAAAAAAAAAAAGAATGATCTCAAAAAGAAAAACAAATTCTTTTCATGTTCATCTAAGTAAGTACCGAAAAGAACAATGTTTTTTTCAAAAGTCAGTTGTTAAAACGTTTTTTTTTCTTTGTTAAACTATATTATTATTGTTTGAATATACTTACATTTGTTTCCATCGGACATTACGCCAAAGGCTGCAGCATTGCCTTCTTTTCTATATGATTTAACTAACACGTCCAAATACTTTCAGACGATAATAATAAAGAACACGAGAAAAAAAAATATGATGAATACAACACAATAGTAATTCAATAGATAAATTAGTTAAATGTCAATTTCGATGCTCGCGTTGGTGATCGTTTTTATATGTTTTTTGTTTTGTTGTTAAACTAATTAATTATAAAAAAATTTTTATTTACAAATAAATCATAGAGATTTACTTACAATATATTCTTTTTTTATTTAACATAATGAATCATGAACACATTTTTTTTTTTGGTAAACGGTTGAATCTGAAAAAATGCCATTAGACTTGTTTTCTTCTTTCCTTTAAAACATAATGGGTATAATTGATAACAAACAACAGAAAATAAATTCGCCTTCACGTTTATAGGACACAGAATTAGTATTTCAATCCATCTGTTTATGTATTTTTCTTTCTATTTATTTCTATCTTCAGATATTACCCGATGGTAAAAACGAAAGAAAAAGAAAAAGAAAAAAGCTAAAATATGAAAAAAAGAAGTGAAAAAGGAATTTGCTGTTTTTGTCAACTAATAACTCAATATACATAATAAAAAAAAAAAAAGAAGAAAACAGCGCGAAAGAGAAGAAAAAAGTGTCAATGATTGAAAAAGAATACTAAAAATAAAAATAAAAAATGTCATACCATGAAATTTGTATGAAAAATGCACATAACAAAACCCTTTGATGTTTCATAAGAATTAATAAAATACATTTACCTTTTTTTATGTTTTCTTTTTTCAACAAAAAAAAAAGACAAGAGCATTTGATTGTATCTGAAATTGGAAGAAAATAAGATCAGAAAAGTGGAAAAACAATTTATCATGTCACATTCTAGTTACTCTCTATGAATTATGATTATATGCACGCTTGAACTTTTTTTTGATTGTGTTTGTCTTACATTCTTTTTTTTTTCCTCTCTTCTCTTTAACCTACAAAAATTCCGAGTATCACGACCACCAGTTGAAAAAAAAATATATACACGGAACGGACGAGACTCACACGTGCACAGTGCGTGCGAGAATCGTTGCTCCTCCTTCTCGTCCTTCTTTCTTCTTTTGTCGGTTTTCTTCTTGTCGTCGATGTTGGCGTCTAGTGAAAAAAAAAAAGATCTATCATGAACACGATGTAAGTCATGTTCTTTGGCGTAGACGTCGTTGACAAGCTGTTTGCATCATAGCTCATACAAAGGAAACATATATATTGAAAATCAGGTGTAGTGCTATGCAGAGGAATATCATGCTGAGAAAGAATAGAGTCAAGTTGTTTTGTATTTTTTTCTTGCGCTTAGCTTCTTCCAGAACTGAAAGCTGAATAAAAAAAAAATATTATGCTTAGTGTATAGCTACTAAAGCTCTCGTTATATCAGTTAAGAGATGCTTAAGGGATTCCATCCGTTCCTCTTTCATCTCAGTTCATAATGAAGAAACTAAACCATGCTTGTATGCACGTAGTTTCTTATTCCTACGTATACCAGAAGTAAATGACTGGCATGCATAAACTAAGAAAAGAAAAGCAAAACGAAAGACATAAAAATAAATGATCCATTTAACATTAAACAGATATTTTTGAGAAAGCAAAAAAAAAAACAAAACAAAAAAAAACGAGGAAAAAAGAAATTATACAACTAGAAAACATTATGATGACTGCTTTTGTTGATGACGACGAGAAAATAGAAAAATATCCTTTTTTTCTAGAGCATCTTCCTCAAGTTTATTAAATGTTGGTTTTAATGTTAATTGTTTTGTTAATAATAAATCCTGATTTATTTCAATAAATTTTAATGTTTTTTCACTTAATTCAATTCGATATTCAATTAATTGATTTTCTTCTTCTTCTTCTTCTTTATCTTTCTTTTTATCAAATTTTTCATGATTAATTAACATATGTCTATTAAATAACTTTATATTTGGATAAAATCGAACATGTTGAACATTCATTGATTGTTTTGGATATTTTTCTTTATCATAATTAAAACGTTCTAATTTATCACTTATATCAATTTGAAAACTATGTTCATCATTAATTAATTTTGTCCATAATTGTATTGGTTGTTTATCTAAATTCATACAATATTCAATACCACAATTAGAATTTTCAATTGGTTCTTTTAATTGAGGAATAACTGGTTTTATATTTGTACGATTTGATTGATAGATACGAGAAAAATAACTTGATTTTTTTTCTTGTTGTGATAAACGATATTGATCTAACAATAATGGTTGACACCTTAAACAACCAGAACATGGATTTGAATAAATAATTGATGATTGTTCAGATGATAATATTGAATTTAATGAATCTCTTATTGAAAGATATATTGACGATATAGGATATTTTAAATAACTGAAATACCATAAACGTTTTTGAAGTTGTTCAAGACGTGTATAATGACCCAAATCAAATGTACTTGCATAACTAGAGATAGAAAACAAAAATACGAATAAGAAATTTGTTGAACTTTTTTTCTATTGTCCAAGAATATATGTAACAAATATTATTTTAATAACGAGTAATCAAAAAATAATTAGTAGAGCCCGTCGGACTGGTTTCGGGTTCGAATATGAAAATTTCGAATCCGACAAGCTCTAGTCATCTGAGAAATATGTAGGATGGGATAATCCTCGAATATAAAAAGCATCTTAGAGGCGACTATCCCTGTTCCGATTAGAAAATTTCAATGAGAGTATTAAAGTATGATTCGACTGGGTTTGAAAATTTTGAATCCGACGGACTTTTAATAATTAGGTAAAATGTTCATTGGCTTTTTAATCCGTCTTCTATCATATTAGAAGTCCCCTCTAGAGGGATCGATATAAAAGCCATACTAGAAGCCCTAGGACTTGTAATTGTATTCAGAGAATATCAGCTTTTCGAACAAAACTTTGTAAATGTTATTAAATTTTTGTTACTCAGATGCCATCGGTGTATAAAAAATTTTTTTTTCTAGATGTCAAATATTCATGATAAAGAATAATCTGTAGATATCATTTTTAGTTTTCATCGACGTCTGAAATCATAGTCATTACATACTTTGTAATCACAGCTTTGTTCGGAAACACCTGCTCGAATATCATTATAGATTAATAAATTTATATTTTTTTGTATAACTTCCTTACTCTTCAAGTTTTTGAACACTTGAACATATTAGAGAAGCCTCAAAGATTTCTATTGTGATGAAGAGTTTATTGTTTCCGAATATAAATTCAATATTTTTTAAGGCTTCTGAATCGAACTTTTAAAGGTGCTATATTAAGTTTGGCTGAAGGAAATTCAAGAATAGTCTCTTTTACTGCATATGTTTGTTTTGCATAGAATTAAAGGCAAAAATTATTCTCTGCGAAATGCTATAACAGTCAAGAGATTCAGGACTAGCCGAGCTCACTTTACAAGTCTATTTTTCATAGAAATCGAGAATGTTGATAACTCCAAGTATTCACTGTTGACAAATGATTTGCTCTTTCATTCACTGTATTTTGAAATCTTTTTACTTTTACTTAGGATAGTTTCTCATGTGCTGAAATTTATTCAAACTTAATTGATGAGTTTCCAAAAGGTCGGCTTATAACTTTTAAACGTGAAATTCTAGAAAATTTTTTCAATACATATACAGATAAAATGCAAAGTTTTGATTCAAATACAGTGTTTTGAAATTTCTCTAGGCATCCTTAAGGAACTGAAAAGTAAATGAACACTTTGTTTAATTAATTTTCAATCAGCCATCACTCTTACGATATGCTTATAGTTCTTATCATCATAATAATAATTTGTTCATACCATTACTTATAAGTTTGAGAGTAGTACAAGTGTTATATATAACTAATGTTAAATATTCTATCGATTGAATTATTGTTTTTTTATGTATTTATCAGTATATTTAGAAAGAAGATTTTAAACTAATAAATATCATTGAAATTTCTTATTTAAATATTAAAAAATCTCTCTGGAAAGAAAAACAAAAGAAAACTTACAATGAGTTTTTGTATTTAGAATACAATCTAAAAGAACTAAGAAGTTAACTTTTGCTTCCATAGATATTAAGTATTTTGAAAGACTCTTCAGACATCATTATTAAAAAAACAAAAAAGTAACAACGCATATTACTTATAGTTATAACGCCATTTCTATTAGAAATCTTAGGATGAAAGCACATTTTTTCTTTTCTTTAGAAAGCAAAATGAAAAGTATGAATATCGATTATGTAATTAAATTTATCATTTCGAGAACGAAATATTTCATTATATGATAATATTCTAGTCGCGTAACGCAAAAATAGTTTGTACAAGGAGGAGTCAGTCTTATGACTATATCTATTTCTAGACAAAAAAAAAAAAGAATACGAAGCTGCGGGTTCACAATTTTTGTAGGGCAGATAATAAATAAAAATTTGTACTCAGACCCGCAGTTTTCTAGTCAAGAAAATATTGATCATACCTCGAGTACATGTTTAAGTTTTTTTTTTTCTATAGTTGGAACTCAAAGTTTAGCATTTTTTAATATATTCAAATATAACAATTCTTGAATGACTGTTTGAGGTATTAAAAAAAAACCGGACCAAAAGTTTATATTGTTATACTTACTAGTAAACAGCGAAATGCATTAAACAAGATACGAATATATGAGAATATTATTTCCTCAATTGCGATACTCAATGATTTATTAATTTCATTTTAATCTCTATTATACAATAGATAAAAGCATATTTGAAAATTTTTTTGCCAAATATGAAATTCAATGGATATCTTAATTGACAGGAGATAATTTGAATCTAATCCTTTGAACATGTTATTTCTCGTTTTCATGCACACAGTACTAATGCTATAGAAAGCCCCTTGAATTCTTAAAATAAATATCGCCTGTAAACGATTCTATTTGAACGAAAATTTTACACCGTAGCTCTGAAAATTATTAAACTAGACTTATTTTCAATGTAAGAATTTGAACATAGAATTCTGAATATATTACCCAGAATGATAGAGCAAATAGTTCTAAACAAAATGAAATGTCTTCCAGTTCTTTACGATATTTATTCACTGGAGTGCGCCAACCTCTCGGAAAATGCCAAAGGCGTTTCTTCTACTATTTTGTAAGAGAACATCATTTTTGTGCCTTCCGTATGGCTGATGTATATCGGTCAGAAAATGTCGTAGAGAACTGGAAAAAGTTTTATTTCGTAGGGATTGTGTCTTCTATCGTTTTGAGTAGGTATATTCAGAAATCTATTTGCGCCTAAAAAACTTAGTTTGTCAAAGATCTTATCTATGGAAAAACTAGCAATCACTATTCGGATTCTTATGAGTGTTTATAGAAGAGGAAAATAAATCTGGTCGAATAATTTTGAAAATCACTGTATATAGATCTTCATTCTAAAACTTCAATAGACTTGAAGTAAACGGAATTGTGAAGAAAGTTCAACGAATGATTCAAAAATCAATTTCAAATGTATTTTTTTCAAAATATAGTAATTAAAATACTATTCAATAAACTTACATTGGTTTTTCATTATTATTTGACATTGTAATTTTTAATAAAGGTTTTCGAACAATTTTTCCATTAAATAAAGCAAAAACTGATTCACAAAGTAAAGCAATATCATCATGAAGTTTTTTTTTATCTGTTATTGGAAATAAACTACGTGCAAATGATACATATTCACCTATTGGTATAAGACAAATAGGTAAATTTTGTAAAATATTTGATTGAAGAAAATAAGGTGTTAATTCACTTAATGTTCCATCACCACCAACAATCATTAATGCACTTAATTCATTTGGTTCTATTTTATTTGTTAATAATTCTTTTAAACCATCTGAATCTGTTATTGTATCCAAACGATAAACACGTACATCAAGACCAATTAAATGTAATAATGGAAATATTGTTTTATCATAAATTGATTTTGCTTTACCATTATTAGCTTTGGCATTAAGTAAAACAGCAATACGAGTAACTCGAGTCATTGATGGAAATGTTTGAGAACCTAATAAAGATGCTTGTTGACAATAAAATTGACGAATTTGATTTGCTTGATAACGATCATACGACCATTTAGTACCATAAGATAAAGCACAAAATGCAAATAAAGATTTTTTCCAATGATTACGAAGTGTTCGAAACATGATTTCTATTTTGTCTTTGATACAGAAGATTTATATCGATCGATTGATGCCGTTTATACAATTGCTATCTGTACTTGTTGTCTAGATTCTACCTCTTTGGCTTAATATATAGACGAATAATTGAATGATTAATTGATATTTATTGTAAAATAAAATAAAATTTGTTTATTATCTTTGATTTTATAGATATGATTTTGTATAATAAAATTGAATTCTTTCTTTTTTTTCAAAATTGCTCTAGAAAAGAAAATAGCGCCATCTGTCATTCGATTTCTGAATGAAATTTATCTATATTGAACGTAAAAGATCTAAATTTTCAGGCAATGTACTTCTTTGACTCAATATGTTGAATTTCGAAAAAAAAAACGAAATAATCATTTTTTCCTTTCAAAGCTTTTTTCTTGGATTTATAAAAACAAAAGTAAGACACTTTTATGTCACATTAACCTTTATTTGGATAGGTTTTGTTGACCTGATTGTGATTTTCTAATATACATTCATTCTCTTGTCATATATTTGTTCAGGCTATTAACTTTTTATCTCCTGGCACTAATCTCATCAGATTCAATGATATTCAAGTATATATTTTTGCGTTTTTTATGATTATTAGACAAAATGTAAAATGTATTGGTAATACTTTTTATGGCGACGTAAAGTGATTCCTCCCTAATCCAGATTAAACATTCATGCCCGTGAACGATTGCTTAATGTACGAATGGAAAACTATACAACCCAACGAATAGGCAATATAAATTATTATTATATTGGATTATATTATGGTATGAAGTCAATCAAAAGAGAATATATTTTTCTTCATTTTAAATTTATTATTCAATATTTGAATGTAATCAGATGTTAAAGTAAATGTAAATATCAACTGTTAATTTTCAGTTAATTGTACTAGAAGAAGGAAGTAGAGGTAGAATAATGATAACTAGGAGATCACATTATGTCTAGTATCAAAAGATGTAAATTCAACATGATCCGACGGAATTCAACTTTAGAATTGTGCATCCCGAGACTGATATAATTAAATTTGAGAAAAATCATTTCATTATGAAGATACAGAATAAGCGATAGATGATCCATTCGTCTTGAATGACATAAAAAAATTGAATTTATTGTTAATTTTTGTATACGTTCTTTCGCAATTATGTTCCCTTGTTGTACGTTTGTTCGCACTATCATTGGTATATCAGTAGTATATTATCGGTAGACTGGTAAATACTCCCGCTATAGGAGTCTCTGAACTAAAGATTCATGAATAATTTCTCGTTTAAAGAAACAAAAACAAAACAAGTAGCTTCATTCGAATCAAATGTTTATTTTATTGAAAAACAATAAGCAAAACACAAGAAAAATAATTTGAAACGTTAGTTTATCGATCTAAAAAAATGTTATCATAACTATCTCGAGTGTGGACGTGAGTATGATGGAATTCAAGAGAGAAAACACTCACACACATTCATGGACCTCACTTATATCCATATCTACGCCTTCTTCATCAAGTATCTTTCAAAATATTCTTTCTTGCAGAATTCTTCTTTTTAGTATTTTTTTTCAACCAAAGTTGAGTTTACTCAGTATAGCATACATTACCCGAATGATTTACTGGTGTTTTTTTGTCGGCTGGTTTGAATTATTTGGGCCGTTATTTTATATATACAAAGCTGGAGATGTAATTATCATGAATCATTTTTTTTGAAAAATGAGTCATTTCAGAGGATGATATATGATTAGAAGCTTGCAAAGATGACTATTCTCGGATTGAAATCAAGTCTTTCATGTCTAAGATCCTATCAGAATTGCTAGTCTTCATTTTATTTTTGATAATATAGAATCATTGGTTATAATTCGAAAACATTCATTTCAATTGTTAAAAATATCTTTACCATAAAGATCGTATTTTTATGAGTTTATATCAAAAATAAAAAAAAATTCTTGAAAAATCATTTGTCATATTACTCACTATGAATGAGTCAAAAAATGACTCATCAGAAGATAAAAAAGTTAACATTATATTAACAACCAAACAATATATTCTACTAGTAGTTGAATATAAACTATCAATAATTATTTTACTCCAATTTGAATCACATAAGTTCAATTCAAATTCAATTAAGTACATTACACGAAACATTCAAAAATAAAAATGAATATTGAATTATCTTTTACAAAAAGAAATATATATATATGGGGGGGGGGGGGGGTGTGTGTGACCAGTCCGGCCGCAGGCCCCGTTAATATTTTTTTGTACTGTAAGGATAAAACATACTATTGCTTGGGTTATATGATAGAGGAATCAATGAACCGCG